CAGAATGCAATGGGGAAAATGGGCACTTACATAAAAGTGCAGCTGCGAAGTGAGAAATGCTGCAGTATGAGAGATGAAAAGACAGTGAAAGGATGCCTTCTGAAGGAACATTATTTAAAGGATGACTAAGAGCTCTCCAGGCAAAGGAAGAGGTATTACAGGGAATGTAGAGGCAACAGTAAGAATGATGAGGAAGGAGATGTGAGAGCAATTGAATGCAGTTTTGTAACTGGGACTTCATAGGGACTGAAGTACAGATTGAATAACAGGGAAGGAGTTTTAACTATTTTATATTTTTAATGAGAAACCACTGAGCAAAATACTGTAGTAACTTTACTTCTGAAAAATTAAGCTAAAAGCAATGTAGAAGCTATCTGGAATTGGGAGACTTGAGTTCAGATTGGGAGGTTAGTTATAAGGCTACCAAGATAATCCACTATGATAGGTAATAAAGTTCTTCAGTGAATATTTTGTTTATATCTGCCCAGAATTCATGATCCTTTCTTTTTGTAACAAAACCCCAATTTTCTACAGAAAAATCACACCTCTGCCACTTACTTTGGCCCATAAAGTTCTAAGGAAGTGTCACCTTACCCAGGACCCTGGGTTAGGCACATAATTTAGGCCTGACTCAAGCATACTCCATACCCTGGAACAGGAGCATAATTCAATTCAACCCAAAAAGAGCCCAGAATTTTTGCTTTTGCTATACCTATTAAGACTACATTCTTTTTTGTTGTTGTTGTTAAGGTTGGTATTGTTAAACTTGAATTTTCTAAGGGTTGTGCTGTAGAAAAATCTGCCTGAGAATGAAGAATGGAGTTAACATACCAGAATAAACACCATGCAGATAGGGACAAATTCTTGTGTAAGCACAAACCTACATTTGATCATTCCTAAAACAATACTCTCTGGATTTTTCATTAACATAAGCCAATATATTTGGAAATGGAGAAAAAATAAATCTTCAAGAGAAAAATCAGGAACAGAATTCAGAGGACCTGGTGACTACTTGGATATGGAAAATGAAGAGGGAAATATCATCAAATTTCACTCTGGCCCTGGCCGGAGTGGCTCAGTGGGTTGGAGCGTCATCCTGTAAATGAAAGGTTGTGTGTTCCATTCCTGGTCAAGGCACATACCGAGGTTGCCAATTAATCCCCAGTCCAGGTGCAGCAAATTCAACCCCCAATCCAGACCCACGTGACCCCTGGTCCAGATGTTACAATCCCAGGTCTGGCCACCAATCCCTGGTCCAGGAGTATACAAGAGGCAATTAATAGATGCTTCTCTGTCTTGCATTAATGTTTCTCTCTTTCCCTTCTGCTCTCCCTAAAAGCAATGGGGGAAAAAATGTCTTCAGGTGAAGATTTTTTAAAAAGATGCCTTGCCCTCAAATTTCTAAAAAAACAAACAAAATTACCCTGAGGCTCCTGGCTTGGTTGATTGAATGGAAAATTCTATTAAATGAGATAGAGAACAGAAGAGGAAAAGATTTTTGTCAATGGAATGGGCTCAGTTTAGAGACACTAAAACATATCTTAATACTTGAATTCTGACTCTATTTACATCACTGCACCAGGAAAACTGTACATGTAGCTGGGTTCCAAGTACAGAAGTAGTGTAGGGTAACAGAGCAATGTTACAAGAACTTTTTTTTTAATTGTTTAGTACTTACACCAGAAAAATCTCCAAAAAGAACTGGCACTTTAAAAACCCTAGGAAAAGTGAAGTATCATTCCTAAGCACTACAACATTTTGCTACAGTGATAATCAGCTAGGTGGAAAACAGGAAAAACTATGACATAACTACATTCCAAGGATGAAGTTAAAAGCTAGGCCAAAACTCTGGTCCTCAGTGTGCTCAACTCAGATAGAGAAGCCATGGAAGGAGGATGAACAGATTATACCACTGCAAACGGCAACAAAAAGAGAACACACCTACCTTATTTAAAAAAAACTGGGGAGGGGACGGTAGCATTTTTTTAAAAGATTTTTATTTATTTATTTTTAGAGAGGGAAGGGCAGGAGATAGAGAGAGAGAGAAACATCAATGTGCGGTTGCTGGGGGTTATGGCCTGCAACCCAGGCATGTACCCTGGCTGGGAATCAAAACTGGGACACTAACGGTAGCATTTTTTTGCACTTAGTACATACCATGCACTCTGTGAGGAACTTTATGCACATTATTTTATTGAATCCTCACAACCTACAAGTCAGGAAAGCATCATTCTTCCTTTGCAGACAGGATGAGCCAAGTTAGGCAGTAGAACTATGATTCAAATGCAGGTCTATCTGGCTATACGGCTTATGCATGTTTCACTACATCAACTGCTTTCAGAAAATATACTGAAAATCTGTATCCTTCATATATTAAAAAAATGCAGCCTGGCTGGCGTAGCTCAGTGGATTGAGCACAGGCTGCAAACCAAAGCAGGTTCGATTCCCAGTCAGGGCACATGCCTGGGTTGCAAGCCATGACCCACAGCAACCGCACATTGATGTTTCTCTCTCTCTCTTTCTCCCTCCCTTCCCCTCTTTAAAAATAAATAAATAAAATCTTTTAAAAGTAAAAATAAAAATGGCTTGCAATTGTGGATATGTATCTCTAAAAAAAGGGAAAAATAATAAAAAAATTTAAAATGCTATCTCAACAAGAAGATTTTTGTAAATTAGGTGTTTTATTGGCCACATACAGGTTAGGTTCTCAGTAACCCAGCCACAGTTCCTCAATTCTCAGGCACAAGGTATGCACTGACCAGTTGCCTATCTGGAGTTAAGGAGGCCATCAATGCCATGAAATCTCACTAAATAACATATTTTGAGTTAACCAACAGAGAGTAGACTATAACAACAACATGAGTGGCTTTATGGGAGTAATCTCACTGTTGAAATTAAGTTTTGACTAGAGTTCCTTGGTTAAGAGTCAAGCATGAATGAACAAACAAAACAGAAACAGATTCATACATATAGAGAACAAACTGAGGTTTGCCAACTGGGCAGAGTTTGGGGGACTGGGTGAAAAAGGTGAAGGAATTAAGAAATACAAATTGGTAGTTACAAAACAGTCATGGCTTCTTAAGCATAGCATAGGGAATAGAGTCAATAATATTATAATAACTATGTATGGTGCTTGGTGTGTACTAGAATTATCAAAGGGATCACTTCGTAAATTATATACTGTCTGACCACTATGCTGTACACCTGAAACTAATATAAAATAATACTGAATGTCAACTGGAATAAAAAAATAAATAAATATATAGTCAAGCCTCGACAGAGTAACAGAAAGAAAAAGACACCTGCAAAGGAACTATCCTACTGGCCTGAATAACAGGCAAAGAATGCTACAAAGTTCACTATCTTATAAATTTCTTTTTCACTATAAATTACCAAAGTGAGAGACAGCATAGCACAGGTATGAAAAGAGCAAACTCTGGAGCCAGATTGCCTGAGTTTTAATCCCAGTTCCATTAGAGATTCATTGTATGACTTTAGCAAGTTATTTATCCTATGTTTCAGTTTTCTCATCTGTTTAATGGTGATAATAGAGTATTTCTCTCATCCACTTGTTATGGGGATTAAATAAGGTAATATTTGTAAGGCTCTTAACAGCCCTGGCAGGAGGTAAATACATTTTTGTTAAATATATTAAGTAACTAACCCAGCTAGATGGGGAAGAAATTTGAAATTGAATTTCCAACCCAATCTCTCCCACATAAACTGGTAAAGGAAAATGAAAATAACCCTAAGACATGCTTAGAATTTATATGGGACCTCTTACATGAAGCATTTCACAAACATCTGGAGGAAGAATAGATAGCCAAATATACACAAGCAGAAACTGAAACATGGAAAAGGGAAGTAAGATGTTCAGTTTCACTGGGCACATCATTCATAGATCTCAGGCAGGAACCCCAATGTCCTGTCAGTCCCCAAGTTTTGTACAGCAGGCAACAAGCTAATTGTGAACATAAAAGAGGAGTCAGCCTTTAAAACAGTCAGGTCTTCACCCAGGCACATCTCATTAATTTTCTCAGAATTAAATATTCTACCTCCAGTCTTTGGACCCCAGCTGTTTCTGAGACTATAACTGTATCTGAACGTTTTTAGAAGTCAAACAAGACTCCCTCAGGCCACAGTCTTGCTCTATCCTGCCATCACTGCTGATTAAGCGGTTAAGATCAGAATTATTAATGAAACAAACCCTAAATATGGGAACCACCTCTATTTAAGTCACCATTTAAAGTAGTTTTTTAAATCTTAAACCCTCTAATTTCTAGAAAGTATGAACTCAGCGACAAGAGTTCCATATAAATGAATGTGAAATTGCTTAGTTGCATTGTGAGGAAGGAGTGAAGGGTTTGAAAATGAAAAGAACATGGCAGAGAGGTCCTGCCACTCTCTGACAGGCATCCAGCGTTGACAAAGGGCATGCACACAACTTGGAGTGGCAAGTCACCACCCCACACCACTGCCATTACAATCGTCCACTTTCATTCAAGGGCCCTCCTTCTCGCCTTCTTCCTCACACTCATCGCTGCCTACGCTTCTTTCTAGACCACTCACAAGGCTTAACCTTTGCTTCGAATTTTTACGTCAATCTTTGTCATACCGTCTTCACTTGCTTGCTGTCACAGCAAGTTTCAGTCAGGGCACCAACCCTGTGCCCTACTCTTATCTATAGACTCTGGCCTAGAAAATTTCATTACAGCACCCCTCAATATCCACCTCTTCTCTAGCACCCACTTTTGCTCCCCCTGACCTTAACATATCCTATCCACCCTCTCTCACCCTCTCTAAGCCGGTTCCCTCCTCCACCCTATCCACGCCCTGCCCGTCCCTCTTCTCAGAATTTCTTCCCAAACAAGTAGCCACGGCAGTCGCCTCACGTCTGTTGCACCCGGCACGTCTCCCCAAGCTCTCCGAGCCCTCCCAAGCCTCCCGGTGCTTCAGCTCACCCATCTGCCCACGACTCCCCGGCCCCCTTCCCAGCCCACCTGCTCTCCTCCACCGGGCGCTCCCCACAGTCGCCAAGCTCCGTTCCCGCGCGCTCTGGCCCCATCCGGGGCTGCGACATGCCTCCTCTCTAAATAGAGGTGTCCAGGCCGCTTCGCCCCTCAGGGTTCTTGGGTCCCTCCCAGGACCAGAGGAGGAACGCACGGAGGCAGAGCTCAGGGTAATGCACACTATCCGCGCCTGACAGCAGCGGCGGTGAATTCTGCCTCAGCTGCGGTTTCTATACCTGCCACCCCCACTTCCGGCCCCCAAAACTACAACTCCCAGGAAGCACTACAAAGGTCCGACCGTTCCCGGCATGCAACATATCCTATCCACCCTTATCCAATCGGAGGCCGCGCTCTCCTAGGATTGGGGACCCTAGCTTCGTGCTGTGGGCGGGCACCAGGCTGAAATTCCCCTTGGGTCTGCCTCTGGAGTCCCTACGGGTGTGCTTACTTACACAAGGCTCTTTTCACTTTTGGAACAGAACTTGGTCGGAGGTCTGGACCAGGAAGTTCAATTATGGTTAACCCCTCTTCCGTTTATACTGGTTTTTAACTCTTGCTGTGTTTGGAGACCTCAAGCATTTTAAATGTTTAAATTTGATTTAAGACAGAGAAACACTGATTTGTTTTTCCACCCATTCATGTATTTATTGGTTGACTGCAGTACGTGTCCTGACTGGGCCTCAAATGGGCACTTTTGAGTCTTGGGGTCCACGCTCTAACTACTGAGCTACATGGCCAGGGCCGACCTCAAGCATTTTAATGAAGAGTTTACAAGCTCAGAAGAGCACAGGTTACTTGGGGATTACAGAGGGAGTGCAGGAGGAAAAGGCTTTGGACAAAGGTTTCCTGGAGGATCGAGGATGAACAATTTCTCAGGATGCCTGTAAATTAGGGAGAAGAATGGAAAGGAAAGTGGAGAGAGCAGCACAGCACTAGTCTGTAAGGGAGGGATTTAGGTTAACTCCAGAAAAAAATAGTTACTATATTATAAATAATTTATGACTTTCAGGAATTTTCAAACCTGAGATACCTTTTTTTGTGAGTAAAAAGTGTAATGAAAGAGTTTCTTAATGCGAATTATGATTTCCATTTATATAGAAAAATACTTTTTGCTCAAACTTTCTCATATTTTCCTAACAGACTTATACTTTTAAAGAAAGGGGCCATTTTGCCCTGATTCGTTTGGCTTCGTTGGTTGAGCATCATCCTGCAAAGCAAAAGGTGGAGGTTGGATTCCCTGTGAGCACTCAAGCTTGGCTTGCAGGTCTGGTACCTGTCAGTGTCGGCAAGAGATAACCAATCAATGTTTCTCTCTCACATGGATGTTTTTCTCCCTCTTTCTCACTCTCTTCCCCTCTCACTACAAGTAAATACATAAAATCTTTTTTAAAAAATTTTAAAGCCATTTAGTCATTGGGATTTTACTACCTTGTTTCTGCAAATGTATGAATTTCCATTTTTTGTCATACAGTATAATCCCAAATGATCTTAACATATACTTACATGAAAGTCAGATTTATCTGGGAATTGCAGAACTAAAATTATAGTAACAGTTCTAGAAAACAGGACTTTCCTCACATGACCAAGTCTGGGTTTACATGTATTTTCTTTAAAGCATTCAGTTAATAAACATGACAATAACCTATACCTGCCATGTGTCCACCACCCTCCCACCCATCCCTCTGCTTTCCCTCACCCCAGGTAGCCATATTTTGAATCTCTTATGATTCCACTGCTTCCATCTTTATATAGTTTCTTTGCATCTATCTATACTCCTAAGAAGTATTGTTTTTAAAGTTTATGTGTTTTAGCCCTGACTGATGTGGCTCAGTGGATTGAGTACTGGCCTGCAAACCAAAGGTTGACAGTTCAATTCCCAGTCAGGGCATATGCCTGGGTTGCCAGCCAGGTCCCTAGTTGGGGGCGCATGAGAGACAACCACACATTGATGTTTCTCTCCCTCTCTCTCTCCCTCCATTCCCCTCAAAAAAAATAAAATCTTTTAAAAATAAATAAAATGTATGTGTTTTAACTTTATATAAAGGGTATAAAGCTGTATTTATTCTTTGAGACCTACTTTTTCACCTTAATACAACATTGACAAGATTTATTCATATTGTTGTGTGTCACTACAGTTCATTAATTTTGACTGCTATATAATAGTCCATTGTGTGACTACACCAGTTTATTCATGCTGTCTTTAACTGATAGGCATTTGGGTTGTTTCCATGTTTTTGCTGTCATAAACAGTGCTGCTAATGAATATTCTTTTACATGTCTCCTCTTGTATGTAAGCAAGGGTTTCTCTTGGGTAGATACCTAGAAGCGGAATTATGAAGTCATAGGGTTATTGTTTGTTCTAGCTTTTGTTTAGAATAGTGGGTTTGTAGGTACACAGTTTTTTAAATAACTATTTAGAAAAATAAATATCAAATTAGTTACGAAATCATAACTAATTATAATATTATTTAAAATAATCAACTAAGCGAAAATTGACCATGCATAGAAAGTGATGAGAATATGTAAAGAACTAAGGATTATGATTAATTCAATTTTGTGCATCTGGGGTCCAAATGGAAAAAAAGGTCAAATATGCAAAAGTATCTAGTATCAGGATTCAATAAATGAAATGACCTTACTTAGCAACTGCTTGATGAATTAATATATTTTTTAATTTTTTTAAATTTGTTTAAATATTTTATTTATTTATTTTTAGAGAGGGAAGGGAGGGAGATAGAGAGAGAGAGAGAGAAACATCAATGTGCGGTTGCTAGGGGTTATGGCCTGCAACCCAGGAATGTACCCTGGCTGGGAATCAAACCTGGGACACTTTGGTTCCCAGCTCGCGCTCAATCCACTGAGCTACGCCAGCCAGGGCTTGAATTAATATTTTAAAAGTCAAGAAATCTGAAGAAGTTTATTTGATCTTGATCAACCTACTTGTTTTGTTTTTAAAGATTTTACTTATTTTTTTTTAGAGAGTGGGGAAGGGAGGGCGAAGGAGACAAAGAAATATTGATGTGAAAGAGAAACATAATGGGGTGCCTCTTGCCCACACCCAAATGGGAAACTGGGCCTGCAGCTCAGGCATTAAGCCAGCAACCATGGACAAGACCCAACCAACTGAGCCACCCTTGTCAGGACAACCTGTTCATTCCATGATCACCAGGATGCTATTTTTTATATAAATTATAGTAGATCCTAAAAAAACCACTGGCAGAAAAACAATTTCACTCAAGAATCAGTTATTCAAATGACAAAATTTTAAAATCTCATTTTTTTACTTATTTGTCAAAAACTTGGTTTTAAGAAAGTCTTCTTGAATATATCAACCAATATCAATTATAGTCATGAATATGTTCTTTTTATCATTATACTAACTGAAATTATTCTTAGCAGCATTTTGGAAAATATTCAGATTTTGAAAGCTAAGGGATGTTTCCCACTGGCCAAATCCAAAACAATTTGAGCATGATAATTCATGACATATAGACATATCTACATTCTTCTGAAGTGTAAGTAACAACCCTTACACTCTTCACCCCTTTGCTTTTCAGGAGAGAATTTCTGAACCCAAAATGAGTCTGAATTTCTATGGAAACTAATATGTATATATTAATAAGTATATAAATAAATAAATAGAAAAAGGAAGGAAAGGGGGGAGGAAAATCTTTTTTTTACAATAAAAGTCAGCTAATGAAAGTAGAATAATGATTGCTAGAAAACCATTATTTTTTAACTATTTTTTAAGTTTTTATTTATTTATTTTTAGAGAGAGAAGGGAGGGAGAGAGAGAGAGCGAGAGAGAGAGAGAGAGAGAGAGAGAGAGAAACATCAATGTGTGGTTGCTGGGAGTTATGGCCTGCAACCCAGGAATGTACCCTGGCTGGGAATCGAACCTGCGATACTTCGGTTCGCAGCCCGCGCTCAATCCACTGAGCTACACCAGCCAGGGCCTGAAAGCCATTATTTTATAGCCACCATAGTAATAATTGATTCAGGCAATAGTCATCAATAGATGCTAAAGCCATTAGTGAAATCTGAAATAGGATATTTATATAGTCTCAAACTATCTTTCCACAATATAAATGGATACCTTTACAATACAGAAATCTGGTGAACATCACCTTAACAAAGTGATTAAAGACCACAAAGAAGACAAAAGATATCATGTACTTCCCAATGTTGAGTGCTCACAAGGACACAACATCACTTATCCTTGACAAGGTGGATAACCTGAATCAAATCACAGGGCAGCAATAAGACAAAACCAAATTGAAGGACCATCTATGCAAAAACTGCCTTCAATCTTCAAAAATGTAAATATCATAAAAGATTAAGAAAGGCAAATAAACTTTTTCAGTTTAAAGTAGACAAAAGAGTCAAGACAAAGAATAGCAACATGTAAACCTGGATTGGATCTTAGACTGGAAAAATATATTGTTAAAAATGATAATAATTAGAATAATTGGCCAAATTTTAATATAGACTATATACATTAGAGGATAGAGTTGCATGTTAAATTCCCTAAACTTGATCATTTTAGCATGGTTGTATAAAAGAATATCCTTAGAGAAATATTCTGTAGAATCATCATGTCTGCACCTTACTTTGAAATTGTCCAACAACAAATAGTATTAATTATAGCTATATATCTATACATAGAGAAAGCAAATGTGGCAAAACTAATTACTAGTGAATCTTGGTGAAGGGTACGTGAATACTGCACTATTGTTAGCATGTCTCTTTAGACTTGAAAATAGCAAAGGATTTTTTAAAATTCTTTTAAAAAATAGTATCTTAATATGTATTTTAATATGATTTGTTTTCTTGTTGCTGCAACCTAATCAATAAAACCAAAATTTTAGTGTTTCAGATGGAACTTTCTTAGTTTATAATGATTAATTTGAACATTTTAAGTTAATGTTAGGTTTTTCCACAGTTTAGCATCTTTAAAAATCATTAGACAATTTTGCCATGACCAACTAGTGAGTTGGTCTCAAGTGTGTTTGGACTTTACCAAATTTACTGATTTACTTGAAATTCCTTTTTTCTTTCTTTTAATAAAGCTTATAGCAGTTCATAAAGGATGAGTTGATTTTAAAGAGCTTTTGAAGAATTTTGCCAAATTTTAATTGACTGGTTTTTATTTTGTCTTAACAGTAACATGTCTACCCCCTTGAAGCACTTGGTATTGGGTTCATTTATTCAATTGTACAGTAAGCTCATTGCCAGCCACAGGCAATACATATAACTCCACAATTTAGAAAGTTGCAATGAAAATTTTAAAAATCTTATTTCTGGACAGATCAAATCCTTAAATATTTGAAGAACGTTCACCGTGTCTCTGTCCCAGCTCCCTGAAACTCTAGAAGGGATCCTTTAATGAGGGAAAAGGAGAGAGAAGAATTAGTCCATCCAGCCTGGGCTCTTCATCCAGAAGCACGGAGGCCAAGGGGCAAAGAAAGAAGCATAGGTGAAGGATAAATGCCTAAAGGCCTCATGACTCTAGACTCTGGCTCTCCAGACCTTCCTAGACTACTAACCTATTTAGCACAAATTGAGAATATATTTTTAAAAGAAAAAAATATGTAAATAGGGAGAAATTGAGATTTATGTAAATTTGTGTAGCTTCAGAAAATGCCACAATTAGTCCTTCAGTGAACTGGCCTAGAACCCTTAGTAGACAGGACTCCTACCCTGCCCAGAGAAAACAAAACCTAATAAGGAGTGAGCCAGAAGTCCAACCTCTGAGTCCAGGAAAAATTCCCCTTTAGGTTCCCATGCTTACTCAGAGAAAAACTGATGATGGTCAGGAACTTGGGAGACCAGTAATGACTCAAGCTATGCCTGTAACCCCACCTGTCATGTTCTCTGCTGTATCATAGCACTGTAGCAATGTCTTGCAAATACTGGGAAATCAAACTTTGTTTCAGTAAATGAATGAATGAATACTGAGATGAAAAGGCAGAAGACCAGAACAGCTAGAAAAGCTGAGAACAAAGGAAAGGGCAACACAAAAGATGAACAGGAAGTTATAAAACTGGCAAACAAAAAGAAAACTGGCACCAGAAAACAATGTAAAAGGGGGTAGAATGAGAAGAGTCAAGCACAGAAGAAAAACTATACATACACATAGCTTAAGGGAGTTAAGTATAATAATAATAGTTATACTAACTAATATATACCTATATATAATGCAATTGTACCCAACTCCCTTATTATACCAGTATAATACAAATTACATCAACATATGAATTCTAAAATCCTCATCTGCAATGCAAAGGAGTTGATACCAAAATCAGACAAAGACATTATAAGAGGAAATTATACACCAATATCACTCATGAAAAGAGAAACAATATGCTTCACAAAACATTAGCAAAACAAATCCAGCAATATATAAAAAGGATAATACACCATGTCCAAGTAGTTTTATCATAGAAATGCATGTTGGTTCAACATTTGAAAATCAGTCAGTGTAATTGACCACATTTATACATTTAGAAAAGAAAAGCCATTTGGGCATCTCAATAGATACATAAAGAGCATTAGATAAAATTCAACATTCACCCATGATTAAAATACCAGCAAACTATGAGTAGAAGGAAATTTCCTCAATCTGATAAAGGGCATCTTCGAAAAAATCTTACATCATACTTAATGGTGAAAGACTGAATGTTTTTTCCTGGGATTGAGAATGAGACAAAAATTTAGCAAATAAAAACATATGACTCCCAGTTAAATGATGTCCACTTTCTCCACCCCTGTTAAACATGGTAGTAGAATTCCCAGTCAGTGCATAAGGCAAGAAAAAGAAGAGAAGGCATACAGATTGAAACAATTATGCTGAGTGAAATAATCCAGGTTAAAAAAAGTGTATACTGTATAATTCCATTTCTATGAAATTCTAGAAAATTCAAATTAATCTACAGTGACAGAAAACATATCAGTGGGTGCTTAGGTAGTAATTGGGGGAAAGGATTACAAAAGAGCACTGGAAAACTTTGGGGGGTGATGTATATATTTATTATCCTGATTATGATAGTATTTTCAAAGATATGTATACTATACATCTGTATAAACTACACACTTTAAATATGTCTTTTATTGTCCATTAATTACACCTCAATAAAGCTGAAAAAGGGAGGCTTAAAAGACATAAGAGCTAATCAAAATAGTTAAGGCTTGTATATGTGAGACTTGTGCTTACCTTTGAAGAGAATGTAAATCTCTTGTGAAAAGAGATCCTGAACATATTAATCGAAAAGTATAATGTTAAAGTTGACAAATTAAGCCAATAAAAATGTAAGACTCTAGTTAAATTTGAATTTCAGATAAAGAATGAGTAATTAATTCTGTTTTAAAAAGAATGAATAATTACTTGGTATAAATTATCCTAAATATTGCATGCAACATAGTAAAAAAAAAATTGCTGTTTATCTGAAACCTGGAACAAACTTATACTACTAAATAATTGTTCATTGTCTGAAATTCAAATTTAACTAGTCTGATATTTTATCTGGCAATCCTAGTTATTGTTTTATCTACAGTGCATGAACTGAAGCCTCTAAAAAGGGCAGCTACTTGAATTCTATGTTTCCTTTGACTTTTGTGAAGCTGCCCAACTACCGTACTCCAGAAAAAGGCTGCACGTTTGGTGTCCAGCACAGTGCCTTATTCATAGTAGGTGCTTAGAAAATGTTTTTGCTCTGGAAGCTGTGTGAGGATGGAATCTGCATCCACCTTGCTCACCATTTTATCCCCAGGGCCTATTACAATGCCTGGTGCTCAATGGATATATGATTAAATGAATAGTTGCCTTTCATGCTCCAGACAATTGCAAGGTTGCCCTTGAAGCTAGCTGATCGACTTCTTGGACAAGCCCCAGTTCTCATTCCTTGGCTTATTTCCCTCTTCACTATTGCTGTGTGTGTCACAGGTTGCTGTTTTATTTTGTATGGTTTTGTGTGTAACTCACCTATCTTCACCTATAATGTCTCTTATTTCCTTGTTGTTCCCTTTGGAATTTGGGTGATTTCTCTAAGACTCTGAAACCCTCAGCCCTTGAAAAATCCGAAAGTCTGAAATGCAACAGCTGGGTTTGCTTATGAAACATTGGGGCATGGTCCTTTTAGAGCTAAGGAGATTTGGGATGGGGCTCACTGCCTGGGAGACGACCAGAACAAAAGAATATACCAGTGTTTGGAAGGATTTTATATACATTTGGGTTTTTATTATCTGTGCTATAAGTACCTGACGTACAAAAATGTATCCAAACTCTAAATGCACTAATTTTCTTCCACAAAAGTTAAGAACTTAATCTAACATTCATTCCTGTAACCACAAACAAGCAGAGATTGTAGAAGCTATTTCTAGTAAAAGAAGGATAGGGGAGAACAACATCTTGTGCTTCGAAGATTTTAGAACGGTAAGGAATCTTAGAAATAATTAAGTGTAACATATATTTAGTATAATTACTTCCTTGTATTGAAGATGAGTATGAAGCCCAAACACTCTTCCAAGTTCACACAATGGTCACATGACTAAAGTGAGTAAAAAGAAATACAACTCAATAAAATCTAGGTCTCTCTCTTACTTTTATCTTTATAATCCAGTTTCTCTAGTTCTTAGCAGTTGGGAGAAGGGTGGCAGCTGCAGCATGGAACAGAAGTAAAATCAAGCACATTGTGCTAAGAGCATACCAGCTATTCTCCTTGACATGCAGAATGTTGTTCTTAGGTCTTTTTGAGTCCAAACGTTTCTTCCCCCAGTAAAGTTTCTTGTATCCCTTCATAGGTTTGTCTTTGCCTGATTCACTCTTTTTATGTGATTATATTTTTGTCTCAGGTAGAGAAAAATTAAGTACAGGCTATGTGGTTTTGAGATACTTTAGGTCAGTGGTTTGTTTCTATGCAAAATGACATTTCAGGAAGAGAAAAGAAGGAAAGTGGCAGAGATTTCTAAACGGACAGAATACCCGCCCCTGTTTTTTCCCTTAAATGCAAATGTCATAGGTAGTTTTAAAATTTTATGAGGATGATATGACCTAAACGCTTCCACATAAGTGCAATTAGTCTGGAGGAGAAGGTAAGAGGAGAGGGAATATAACGTTTTGTAAATAGGAAAAAAAATATTACACAAGCATTCATCAAATAGTAATATTTCCCTGTAGGGGTGATTAGAAAGAAAACGAATCCTTTTATTAATTCCCAACGCAAATGAATTAGAGAGTAATATAGCCAAATAAGCAGAGGTACTTACCTATCTCTCTAGTGAGTACCCTTCTCAATGTTTTGAGAGTGCAGGTTGAGAAATGATACAGATACAGAAAATATTAGCATTTACTTTTATTGCTAGTGACGCACTAATTACCATTTCAGCCTTTGCTTTGCGTCCAGAAGCCGCGATTCCGCAAGCTGCAGGTGGAGTTGTTGGCCAGGGATGGGGGAGCTGGGACCCTGTTGTGCAATATTTGTTCACTGGGGTCTTTCCTGCCCCGAGGCTGCATTGCAGTGGGGCGGAAAGGTTCGTGTAAAAGCTTAGGGGCCTTTCTGTAACAGGAGAGACTCGAAGGACACGGAGGAACATGATCTCACTTAAGACATGTGATTCTGAGGTGCTCATGGTCCAGCATCCCCAAATTTGGGCGAAAAGGCAAACTGCTGAAACAACGGCCCTTGCAAGAGCCCAGAGCAGCGAGTGCAATATTTCCTCCTGGCCGACAGGGACCGCTAGAAGCGAGTACCGGTGTGGGGCCACTCTCCTCGACCACTGGTCTCTGTAGCCCCTCCCCCCGCCCGCAGCGACGGGTGAGAGGGTGAGGGCTGACCTAGCACGCGTGCGCGCTCTCTCGGTGGAGCTAGTCTGTGAGCTTGAGTGGGAGGTGGCAGGCCTCAGACTCCGGCCTTCACTACTGACTGAACCAGCGCGACGTCTCCAACCATGAACCGGTTTGGTACCCGGTTAGTGGGAGCCTCGGCTACCCCTCCGCCACCGCCGCCGAAATCCCGCAGTAATGAAAACCTCGACAAAATTGATATGTCTCTCGGTGAGGAGCCGAGTTGGATAGAGTTGGAGTGGGGGGAGGGTATAGGTGGGACCAAGTAACCCGGTTTGTGGGGGAAGGGTCGGTTGGCTGCAGTTGTCTGTCAAGGGTTTTTTGTTGTTGTTGTTGTTTTGAGGGTGGGCGGAACCAAATGAGGGCCTCTGGGGACTTGGGGAGCGCTAGCTAGTGCGGAGTGCTAGGGTCGAGCCTGAGCGACTCGAGCGCCTCCTCGGCGGGCCTGAGTATGAGGAGTGGCGTTTGGGACGGGTGGCGCTGCGGGCCCGAAGGTTTGGAGGGTCGAGGGGTGCATAACCTCTGTTCCCCCAGAGGGGCGCTACCACTTGCGGCTGAACCCGGGAATCTTTGTGAGGAAAACTCCTCGGGCTTGCTCTCCAGCGTGTTCCCTGTGGGCGTTATCTCGGGAGTGAAGGGAATGGTCCCACTAAGCCGTCCTTTCTGAGGAATGGCTTGAAGAGACTGGCTGGCTGTGCGTTCGGTTAAAATCAGTGCTTCTAGAAAAGGGCTCTTTGGGCGTTTTCTGTGCCCAGGCCTACGCTGGGGGCCGAACCAGAAGTGTAGAGACGCCTCCCTAGAGTTGGTGATTCTGACGCGCATCAGACCTCGCACGGTCGGGGCCACGACGCGGCACCTCGGAGCGTTAGTCAGAAAGAAAGTATCGTTAAAATGGATTTCATCAGATGGTGCGTTATTAGGCAGTGACCAGAAAAAAAGAGTGTTTCCTTATCCAGGCCTAGCTAATTAGAAAAGAAAAAAAAAACAAAGAAATTTACATGGATAGATGCGAAGCCGGATAACGTGGGATCTAGCACGGATAAGAAGGGTGGGGTGATTTGGTGATGATTATGTAAAAAGCAGGAGGATCGGTGATTTAATTAAAAATTGAGATCTGGCACTACTGAGGCTCGAGTCTCTGTTTGGCTTAGCTCGTTTAAAAGGAATTCCTTTTTTTGTCGGGATTCAAGTTACAGTATTAGGAGTGGTTTGCTCTGCCTGCTCTTTCTGTGGACTACATTTTTGGGCATATTTGAAAAGTACATAACTAGTGGATACAGAGGTGTACCTTTTCCCAGGACGGTATTTTTCTTTTGTTGTGATTTATCTGCAGAGTTTTTAGTCAAAAGCAAGAATTCTTGTTTTCTATGATTGCCACAAGTCAGAACTCACTATATGAATTAAGGCAGTCATCAGAAATAATATGTTTGGCCTTAAGTCTTGTTTTAGTGAACCCTAAATAAATGAGAAATCTTTTGAACTAAGGCCAAGAAAAAATATAATAATGAATATTTATTGAGTGCTTACTACCTTCCAGACACTGGACTGTACACATTATATGTAAGCTCAGTTTATCCTCATAATAACCCTATGGTGTATGTACTCCTAATGATAAAAGCATAGAAATCCAGACAGAACTCAGTTCAAATCCTGCTTTTGCCATTTAATAGCCACGTGATTGTGGGCAAATTACTTTTCAGTGCCTCATCTGTAAAAAGCCGATGATAATAATAGGTTTATCTGCTTTAGAGAGTTGATGTTAATATCAAACGACTCAAAAGGCATATGTAAACTGCTTAGAACAGCACCTGGTACACAGAATACTGTATTCTGCTTTGTATAGTGTGGTCCCAGGTGTAATGCACATCCATGTTTTTGGCCAAAACGTCAGGAAAAAATCTTTTGTTTTAATTTTTAATTAATTAATGTATTTATTTATTTGTATTTAGATACTGGCTTTTTGTATTATAAAGGAATTTTAGCATTTATTTCTGAACATACTGTGGTACAAGAAATTTAATATAACAAATAATTACAAAACACAAGAACAGATACAAGATATTTTAGGTACTACCCATGTATAATGTGCATCCTTATTTTTCCCTCAAAAATCTGGGCAAAAAGGTGCCATTATACACAGCAAACTATAGTAGCTCTATAGTTACACACACACACACACACACACACACACACACTCTATAAGCCATTGTTATTTCCATTTTACAAAACCTGAGGTGTAGAGAAATTAAATAACTTGTCCAAAGTCCTAGAACAAGTTAAGTGATGGAACAGGGATTTTGGTTGGGTTTCGCTATAAATATTTTAGGAAGTGTTAAGCAGGTTATTTTCATTACCAATACATTATCTTAAGTTTCTAGGGTTTTTGTATGTATTTCATTTGATTAGGATGTTCAAGTGAAAAAAACTGAGGAATAATTATCTTTGAAGATAGAAATGAATTGCTGTGGATAGCTAAAACAGAACTTGATCTCTTTCCACCAAGAACATACTGTTAGGTATACTCCCAAGAGCATTTTGTCAAGTGTCATTTTGTTTTGTTTTAGTGGGATTTTCAGAGATGGGATGGAGAGATAATCTATTTTAAACAGTTGTTATGTTTTGTGAATATTTCATTTTATCAGGTCTGCAGGAGTTTTAGAATCTAATTTTTCTTTTGCTTTTAAATCATTTCTCTACCAGGATTATATGAGTATTCATATAGAATATCTACCAAGGTTACCAATAGCTGGCCTCCTTTTAGCTTATTTTCTTAATTTGAAAATGAGTATTATACTTACTTCATAGAATTGATTTGAGAATTAAATGAATACATGCAGAACAATGCCTGTTAATACTCGGTTGTTACTGTTACTATTATTAGTACCATATATATACCCCTAGTGTTATGGAAGGAACTTCTTTTTATAAAAGTAGCTCATCATAATGGATTTTTTCTTATGATACCTACCCTACCTGCTCCATGAGTAGGAGAAAGCCATTCTCTTCTTTTAGATTGGAAGGCTCTTCTCTGTCATAGTAGCTCATTTAACTTGAGGACTTAGGTAATAAAATATTTAAACATAATTTTATGTTTGATGTGCTTTATACTTTTAATTTTTTGTTATGTTTGTATTCTATAATGTATTTTAAGATTAAGCTGGCTAGTCAAAATTATACCCTGGTGTCCCCTGCCCTTCCACTTTCTTCATGGTCCCCAAACCAAATTCATTTTTTGTGTGTGTGTTCTCATGGCTCTGAGATTTTAGACTTCTGTTGAAGAATAGCACCTTACCTTGTTAAAGGAAAGTAGTATTTCAAAAAAAGTGTTTCTCACCATTTTCTTTCTGCTCAGAGTTGAATAGGCTCATGTATCTAATACTCATTAAACCTTTTAATTTTTATTTTTTAAAAAAACTGTTTTTAACTCTGACTTTGTCTAACTTTGATGAACTCTTTTATAGTTGGAGGACTGATCTCCAGAAGATAACAAAGTACTTTGGGGAGAAATTAATTATTTTATGTAACTGTATGTTTGTGATTAAGAGTCTTAAAGATTGCAGATGAGTTAGGTAGAGTAGTAATAGATTTACTGATATCATTGTTAGATTATTTGTATTTAGAGCAGTTGGGGGAAAATCACAGGTTAATTATTAGTTTTGTGAAATTTTCTTAAGTTGTTAATTTCTTTGGTTTGTGTTATTTTTAGTCATCAGAATTAATGTTGGAGTTGAGACTATGGAGAAATTGGATATCTCTTTATAAATATTTTTGGTTTCTAGTAACCTTTTAAAAATTATTCAAGTATAGTTGGCATACAATATTGTATTAGTTTCAGGTGTTCAACATAGTGATTCAACATTAATATACTACCTTGTGATCATCATGATAAGTCTATTAACCATCTGCATAATTTTTAAAATACTGATTTTATTTCCTGTTTGGTAACCTCGTTTTTTTTCTTTTTATTGATTTGAAAGAGAGAGAGGAAAGAAGTAAGACAGAGAAACATCAATTTGTTGTTTCACTTATTTTTGTATGTATTAGTTGCTTCTTGTATGTACCCTGACTTGGGATCAAACCCACAACCTTGGCATATCCAGCACGACGCTGTAACCTGTTGTGCTACCTAGCCAGTACCTAGTAACCTCCTTTTAATAGATGTAAATGGGAATCTGAAGAACATTTTGTTTTCTGATCTTCACATTGTTCTATTATGGTATTAAAGCAATGTAAGGCTTGTAAATTATTTTGGGGCACTTTGAAAGTGTTTTGGGAACTAATGAGGCTTAGAGAGAGCAGTGTAAAAGAAAAACAAGCTAACCCTGAATTACTTTGCTAGAGGAGCAGAAACCAAGAGTATTTTCTCTCAGCACTATATCTTTATAATGGTATTTATATAATTTATATTTGCTGTTTACATGTCTGTTTCTATCGGTAGTTTTAAACTTACTGAGAGAGATCATATTTATTTTTGTTTCTACTATAGAATAGTCTGCCACATATATTTATTGCACATAGTATATACTTAATAAATGCTGAATTGAAATGAATGTATAAATCTAGTTTTTTAATGGGTTGATATTTTTCTGATTGCTTGTGAATTTATTGAAAGTTGGTTATCTTTAAAAACTGGAGAGTTCTGTGTTTATGGAAAAAAGTATTAGTAATCTTTTATAAATAGGCTTTCACTTATTTACATTAATCAGGGAAAGAAATACAATACTATGGATAACCAACATCTTCATTAATTGGTAGGTCTCTTCTTTGGACTTCTGATTTGAACATGTCCTATGAAACCTTTCTTTAATGGTTCAAGTGCATTGGTTGATTTGAACTTTTATCTTGTCATTATTACCCTCTTATGGTAGTGCTTTCAAAGTAGAAAAGTTAGGGACATGGAAATCTATCAACTAGAAAATGAGACTCAAGTATTTGAGTCATTAAGCTAAAATGAAAATAAATAATCATTGAATTTCCTCTGTCACAGATGATATCATCAAATTGAATCGAAAGGAAGGAAAGAAACAGAATTTCCCACGACTAAATAGAAGACTCCAGCAAAGTGGTGCTCGGCAATTCAGGATGAGAGTACGATGGGGAATCCAACAAAGTTCTGGTAAGTTTTGCAAGTAAGGCTAAAGAGCTGTTATTTTGGGGTTAGTAGTATACTACTTTTGGTATGTACTTAAAATATGGAGGAAATATATCAGTACCTTTTGTTTGGGATTTGTATTTACTGTCAAGTTTTTTAATCTTAAAATCTGGTAAAAATTTAAGTTGTCTTAAATTTTTCTAAGCCTCAGTATAGAAATAGTCTAAAGTATGTGCAAGTTACCAGGTCTGCCCAGAAAAAGTCCAGCTACTGTTAATATAATGAGAACAGTTTGTGTGACATTGATATAACCTGGCAGCTGAGGAGAGTGTACTGGAATGGGCATGCGTGACCAGTGACAACATCACTGTACTAGCCAGTGGGGGCAGTAGACGCTGTTGAGTGAGCATCTGTACTGTGTGGCTGTCACATTCAAAATGAGCGAGTAGAACAACAAATCTGCACCAAATTTTGCATTAAGCATGAACATTCCTCCATGGAAACTATTCAGATGATTCCAAAGGCTGCAGCTATGGGCAGCTGGTGATTGGCAGATTCATTATGACAACACACTTGCTCATGCATCACATCTCATGCAGAATTTTTTGGTGAAACATCAAATCACTCAGGTGACTCAGTTCCCCTACAGCCCAGATTTGACACTCTGGGACTTCTGTCTTTTCCCGAGACTAAAATCACCTTTGAAAGGAAAGTGATTTCAGACCATTGATGAGATTCAGTAAAATATGATGGGGCAGCTGGTGGTGATTGGGAGAAGTGTGTAAGGTCCCAAGGTGCCTACTTTGAAGGGGACTGAGGCATCATTGTTCTGTGTACAGTGTTTCTTGTATCTTGTATCTGGTCTAGTAAATGTCTGTTTTTCATATTACGTGGCTGGATACCTTCTAGGCAGACATTGTATAAAGTATGAACATAATATGTAAAGGATTTTACATATCATGAGGTCTTCTTATATGATCCTTCAACAGTATTTTGTGTGGATGACTATATAACTCCAGCTTAAATGCATTCAGTGACAAAGCATACCACCTTGTTAGAGTTCTTTCATTATTGGTGATAGCTCTGTTTACTAGAAAATTCTCTTGAATTAAATCATGCCTACCTGTGTATCCTACAGTTATAAGAAGCAAACTCCCTTTTCTATATGAAAACCTTCCAAGTATATGCAGACTACTGTTCTGCATAGAAAATGGCTTCTGGACTCTTTATCCTTTCATCTGGAACTTTTAGGATTAGTTAAATCCTCCAAAGGTGACACTCAGAATGGAATGCTTTAGATGTGATCTAATGATTTTGGAACTCTACATATACAGTTATTTTTGGTAATCAGGAAGTTTATTTACTTTTAACCATCTTGTTCCAAAATGGATTTAAGGCAGCAACTGAACACTTAATTATATATGATTCATTAACATTTTTAGCAGTTATATCAGCATTTTAGAATAAAACTTGTTCAAAATTTTAAAACTCTATGTCTTTTTTACATACATTAAAAAATGTTTGATAAACTATTTCCTAAATGGATTTTTATCTTACACATTGAAAAACATAAAAAATAATCTCCACTGAGTCAAATACAACTAGTTCTATGATTAACAGCTAACATGAGAACATATTCTCAAAATATATGTATTTTTTATAAATAGGGTGTATAGCTAAGATTAGACCTGAAAGAAAAAATTTATTTTTCTCTAATTTCTTTTTTTATTTTTTAATATATTTTACTGATTATACTATTACATTTATCTGATTACCCCCTTTCATTCCCCTCCATCCTCTCTCCCACCTACATTTCCCCCCTTTAGTTCATGTCCATGTGTCATAAGTTCTTTAGCTTCTACATTTCCCATACTATTCTTGCCCTCCCCCTGTCTATTTTCTCCCTACCATCTATGCTACTTATTCTCCATATCTTTTCCCTCTCTCTCCTCCTCCCACTCCCTTGTTGCTAACCCTCCATGTGATCTCCATTTCTGTGGTTCTGTTCCTGTTCTAGTTGTTTGCTTAGTTTGTTTTTTGTTTTTGTTTTTTTAGGTGTGGTTGTTAATAATTGTGAGTTTGCTGTCATTTTACTGTACATATTTTTCGTCTTCTTTTTCTTAGATAAGTCCCTTTAACATTTCATATAATAAGGGCTTGGTGATGATGAACTCCTTTAACTTGACCTTATCTGAGAAGCACTTTATCTGCTCTTCCATTCTAAATGAAAGCTTTGCTGCATAGAGCAATCTTGGATGTAGGTCTTTGCCTTTCATGACTTGGAATACTTTCCTGCCCCTTCTTCCCTGCAAGATCTCTTTTGAGAAATCAGCTGACAGTCTGAATGGGAACTCCTTTGTAGGTAACTGTCTCCTTATCTTTTGCTGCTTCTAGGATTCTCTCCTTCGTTTTAATCTTGGGTAATCTAATTATGATGTGCCTTGGTGTGTTCCTCCTTGGGTCCCACTTGTTTGGGACTCTCTGGACTTCCTGGAAGTCTATTTCCTTTGCCAGCTTGGGGAAGTTCTCCTTTATTATTTGTTCAAATACCTTTTCTACTTGTTGCTCTTTCTCTTCCCCTCTGGTACCCCTATAATTCAGATGTTGGAATGTTTAAGATGTCCTGGAGGTTCCTAAGCTTCTCATTTTTTGAATTCTTGTTTCTTCATTCTTTTCTGTTTGGTTGTTTGTTTCTTCCTTCTGGTCCACTCCATCTATTTGAGTCCCAGTTTTATTTCCATCACTATTGATTCCCTGTGCATTTTCCTTCATTTGACTTAGTGTGGCTTTTATTTTTTCATCTAATTTGCAACCAAATTCAACCAGTTCTGTGAGCATCCTGATCACCAGTGCTTTGAACTGTGTATCTGATAGGTTGGCTATCTCTTTGTTGCCTAGTTGTATTTGCTTTGGAGCTTTGATCTGTTCTTCCGTTTGGGCCATGGTTTGTTTGTTTTTTTGTTTTGTCTTGTCTTGTCATGCCTGTTACGTATGAGGGGAGGAGCCCTAGGTGTTCACCAGGCAGGTCAACCTTGGGTTGTGACGCCCTATGTGGTGGCAGGATTTGAGAGGGAACCATGGCACTTGCTCCTCTCTCTGTCGGATTTCAGTTCCTTCTGCTGCTTCCCCCACGCAAACTGGGTCTTTCTGGTGCTAATTCCCGTGTGGGTGGGCTTGTGCATGCTCTAGGACCCTGTGGGTCTCTCCAACAAACTCCTGTGAGGCTGGGAGTCTCTCCCTGTGCCTCAGCCCCCACTGGTGTTTTCAATAGGTGCCTGGAGGCTCTATTTCCCAGCACTGGGACCCTGGGTTGTGCGCAGTGCCTTGCTTCACAATTGTCGCCTTGCTGGGTCTGCCTGTTGCCACCCCATGCCTGGGATCTGCCAGCTGCTGCCTGCATGCCCAGGATCCACCCGCTGCGGCCTTGTGTACCCAGGATGCCTTACATGCCTGGTCCCACTGCTCTTTGTGCCTCGACCCCTCTCTACCCAGCTCTCTGACTCCGCCCCTCCTACCTGTCTGGATGAACATGTCTATTTTAACTCCTTGGTTGTCTGACTTCCATACAGTTCAATTTTCTGCCAGTTCTGGTTGTTATTCTGTTTCTAAATTGTTGTTGTCCCTCTCTTGGTTTTGCGTGGAGGCACAGTGTGTCTACCTATGCCTCCATGTTGGCCGGAAGTCCCCTCTAATAATTTCTTGAACAGCTGAACCCAAGTGAGTAAGTTTTATGACTGGTATTTAGCTATAGCAAATTAATATTTAGTTCTATTAATTTATATTTAAAGATTTTAAAATGGATATTACTTATAGTACACCATATTTTAGATATAACTTGTTTTAAAATAATTTTAGAGTTCATAGAAGCCAGAAATATAGTAATTTATGCTAACCATTTGTTAAGTACCCTATTTTTCGGACTACAAGATGTACATCCCCCCAAATTGGAGGAAAATGGGGGTACATCTTATAGTCCAAATGTAGCTTTATATTTACTTTGGTGAAATATGTTATATATGTTATTAAATATTTTACCACATTTTTTGCTTCAAATTTTTTTTCCTATTGTCCTCTAAAATCTATGTGTATCTTATGGTCTGAAAAATACGGTACCTGATAAATACGAACTGACCAGGAGTTCAGGATATGTAAAGGTGCAGACTTTTACTTTAAGGGATTTTTGCTGAGATAAGGTAGAAAATATTGACTTGAGAAATGTCATAAGAGAAATTCTGACATAGGACTTTAGGTAGAGATTTTTATACTAACAAGATCAGTGGTGATTGAATGGATAAAATTAAATAGGATTTGGTCCATAAAGGATCAGAAAAAGTTTTCCTTTTAACAGTAGATTATGATCTGAATCTAGAGATAAATGATATCTAGGGGCAGCTTAGAATCTTATAAGATTGAAATTGTGCTTGTATGTTCTCCACTTGTATGTGACAGTGCCTAAAATAGAGCAGCTGCTGCTGTCACTGAATGTGTAGAAAGATATGGGATTGTCTTAAGCCCTGATTGGTTAGCAGAAGTTCAGGTTTCCACATTGTAATGTCACTGAGGATATTAGCTTGAAGTAAGAGCACAAATAGGACAGGGAGCCCTTGGCATATACTCAATAAATTATTTTTGATGGCTGAACAAATAAGTGAGTAAAGGCTTCCTAATTGTGCCCAAAATATAATTTAGTCACTCATTTAGGTACTGGCTGGTACAAACAACCTAAATACACTTGAGTGGTGGAATACTATACAGCCATAGTTCTCAAAGTGTTATCCAGGGACCCTAGGGAATCCCCAAGACTTGAGAGGTCAAAACTGTTTTTATAAGCCATTAATTGTATTTTCACTCTTACAAGTCTTGTAAATGTACAGTGGACTTTTACAGAATTTACATTATGTGTGGTAATTAAAACAGATTGAATGCAGAAACAGTCTGAATTTAGCTATCTTTTGTTAAGCCAAACACTAAAGAAAATGCAAACAATGCCACTCTTATTATTATTTTTTATTGTTTTGGAAAAC